TATATTTATGGTGTCCATGTGTAGTGGTTATAAGTTGGACTGCTAAACTCAAGGTCAGCAGTTTGAAACTACCAGTGGTTCAGCGGAAGAAAAATGAGGCTTATCTGCTCCCGTAAAGATTTATAGCCTTGGAAACCCTATACAGGGTCGCAATGAGTCGGAACCAACTCCACGGCACATAACCACCATCACCATTATACATTTAAAGCTAGACCATCTGTTGTTGTTGGTAAGTGCCTTCAAGTTAGTTCTGATTCCTAGTGATCCTGTGTAGGGTTTCCGAGGAGCACCTGGTGGATTTGAACTGCCGACCTTGTGGTTTGCAGGCTAGTGCTGATCCTACAGTGTTATACCAGTCGACCATCTAGACAGCGATTAAAAACCATTTGCTGTTGAGTCTTTTCTGACCCATGGAGCCCCCATGTGTTAGAGTAGGGTTACGGTCTGCAGGGTTTTCAATGACTGATTTCTCAGGGGATTGCCAGACCTCCTGAGACGCCTCTGGGTGGATTAGGACATCTAACCTTTTGGTTAGCATCTGACTGTGCTAACAATTTGCCCACTTAAAGACTCCTTATCTTAGACCACTTGATTTCTTTGGTGTGTCAAAGAATAATGATCTGGAATGAGGAAGTGGGGAAAAAAATCAGAGAACATTAGTGTTAGGATCTTAGATTAGAAATCAACTAGTCCAGCTCCTTACTGATATAGATAAGGAAACCCAAGTCTAAGAGAGTCTGAGTAACTGGGCCAAGGTCATCCAGCAAGTAGTTGAGAACCAGGATTCCCCTCCTTCTGCCAGGGTGGAGGACGACTAACATGGGCTTGGGGAGAACACAGACAGGTAGTACTCAATGATTTCCTCTCAAAGACTGATTCCTCACTGTAGTTCATTGCCGCTAAGTGGGTTCCGACTCATAGCGACCTTGTATAGGGTTTCCAAGGAGCGGCTGGTGGGTTTGCACTGCCACCTTAGGGTTCAAATCAACCTTGAGGTCTAGTACTTTATCCTAAGGTGTCACACCAGGACTCCCACTGTGGGAATTGATAATTTACCAGGGTAAGCCAAAAAGTATTGCTACTAGGGTTTCAGTTCATACATGCATGAGTTTATTCCAAACAGAACGTGTTTAAACATATCTGTGATCAATGGATACCTGCAGACAAGTTCTGTCAGTTATACACTTGTCTTAGTTTCATTAGGATGCCTTCAAAAAAAAAAAAGGATACTTTTTTGTGCCATGGAAAAAACTATTTTGAGGTCAGGGCTAATATTAGGTTTTCAACAAAACTCAAACTGAAATGGACATCTTCCCAAATCGTTGAAACTTTGCAACAAGCTTACTGGAATGCTTCCCCACATAAAACAACTGTTTTCAGATGGGTCAAACATTTTAAGGAAGGTCAGGGAGACCTCAAACATGGGACATCAGAGGGAAGACCATCAAGTCTGATGTATGAGGAAATTATGGTTGAAGTCCAGAAATTTGTGGAATTACCTTTGATATGTTAACTGAGATCTCACATGGTTCAACATTTTCAGTTTTAAGTGA